CCCACCCATCCACCATCCATCTATTCACCCACCCATCCACCCATCCACCATCTACCATCCACCCATCTACCATCCATCCATCCACCCACCCACCCATCCACCATCCATCCCTCCACCCACCCATCTACCATCCCTCCACCCACCCATCCACCATCCATCCACCCATCCACCCACCCACCAAGTTCACTGAGCACTGTGGTGGGTCAGAGCCCACGGTCCCTGTCCCTGCCCAGAAGCCTTCCTGACCCAGCAGGGCCCCAGGAAACGCAGGAAGCACCAACCAGGCACTCACAGGATGTAGGTGATGACTCCGATGCTCCTGGACAGAGCACACAAGAAGAGACGAACAGTCAGCTCAGTGGTGGGGGGTGGCACCCCAATTCCCAGCATCTCTACCTGGCCCAGATGGGGAAGCCAGAAGCCCATGGCCTGTTCTGCTCTCCTTCCAGGGTCTGCATGGCCTCCACTAAGGGCACTCCTCCCCCGGCTCTGGGCGTCTCAGGACTGGGAACCCGAGCTCATCTGGCCACACCCACCCATCAAGGCTCAAACTGGGCAGGGGAGAGGTTGGGGCAGATGCAGGACTCTGTGCCTGCCGTGCTCCAAGCGGGGCTGACAAACTCTTCCTACAAAGGGTGAGATAGCAAATATTTCAGGCTTTCTGGGTCACAGTTTCTGTCCCTTATGTGTTTGTTTTGTGTTTAACAACACCTTAACAAGAAAACCATTCTGAGCTCACGGACCTGCCCTGGCTGGCGGGCCATCGTTTGTCGACCCCCGTTCCAAGGCAGTGGTCTGTCCTGCCCTCACCCAACAGCCAGGTGGGTGGGCTACATCCCAGCCTGAGGCTGTGGCCTGGCAGCTCCCAGGCTGAGGGACTCCCTGAGGAGCAAAGGGGCTACATGCCAGGCATGTGTGTGCTGAGCTCAGCGCCAGGCAGACCTGGCCCCACCACTCCCCACCACTCACCACATGTCCGCCTCCAGACCCAGGGGTTCATAGTTGACGATCTCTGGGGCTGCAGGGACAGGGAGACAGAAGGGGCAGGGTCAGACGCTCGTGTACCTGCGGCAGCACAGGGGATACGGCCGCAGGGAGGAGCAGGGCCCACCTGGCGGGGGGGGGCGTGGGGGGCAGGGTGGCTCTGGGCCAGGAAGGCCTGACCTCCACGTGCCTGACACCAGGACTCGGGAGAGGAAATCAGGGGGGTGGGCCAGGCCCGAGGCGCCCCCACAGGCCAGGAATCCTCAAATGGCCCCACAAACCCTGGCCCCAAGGCACTATGCAGAGCCATACCCACGAATTCGGGGGTGCCAAAGATGTTCTTGAACTCATTCCCTGCTTCAATCTTGTGGGCGATGCCAAAGTCGATGAGCTTGATCCGTGGGTTGGGCACGTTCTTGTCCAGCAGCATGATGTTTTCTGGCTGGGGGTATAGCAGGTCTGTCGCTCTGCCAGCCCAGCGTCCCCAGGACAGCCCCGAATCTCCCCTGGGAACCCCCAACAGGTCACCAGCCTGCACTCTGTGCTGTAAGAGCTGGATCCCCTCCCCGGACCCGCCACCCTGCTGGGGCCCACCTTGAGGTCAAAGTGGGCAATGCGCTTGGAGTGCAGGTAGTGGACGCCATCCAGGATCTGCTTGAGGAACTGAGTGGCCTCGTCCTCCGTCAGCGACTCCTTTTCCGCCAGGAAGTCGAAGAGCTCCCCACCTGAGACCAGCTCTAGGATGAGCACCACGTCCGTCTTGTTCTCAAAGATGTCGTGCAGCGTGATTATGTTGGGGTGCCGGATCTCCCGCAGGATGTTCACCTCTCGTTCAATCTCCTCCCGGCTGACGCCCCGCCGGCTGGATGACAGACGGCGCTTCTTGATGAACTTGGCCGCATACTCCTTCCCGGTGCCCTTCTGTCGGCATTTCCGCACAATGGCAAACTGGCCACTGCAAGGACAGAGGAGTGAGCAGGGGCCCAGCGAGGGACTGGGGAGGGGCCGGGGCTTCTGCGACAGCACCTCCCGGCCCCGCCAGGTGGCAGGTGAGCTGCTAGGTGAGTCCAAAGCAGCCATGGCAGGTCTGCCAGGCAGAGAGCAGGGAAGTGCCTCAGTGTTTACAAAAGGGAACTGAGTCCATCCCGGGGCCGGTGGGATCCCAGGCAGCCAGGAGAAAGTGGCCGACAGGAGGTGTTTCCTCAGGCACAGCGGGCAGGAGGCCCTGAGAGCTGGCCACCCTGCTCGCCACCTGTGTCAGAGGAGGGGGCTGAGGGGTGGGGCGGCCAAGAGGGATTTTTATTTTTTTTCTTTAACATTTTATTTATTTATTTGACAGAGAGAGAGACAGCAAGAGCAGAAACTCAAGCAGGGGGAGTGGGAGGGAGAAGCAGGGAGCCTGATGTGGGACTCGATCCCAGGACCCTGGGATCATGACCTGAGCTGAAGGCAGACGCTTAACAACTGAGCCACCCAGGCTCCCCAGAGAGGTTCTTTTATGTGATGTAATTCTACACTGATTTGACTTTCCATAGTCTATTTTGTCATGTTTAAAAACCTAAGAAGGGCGCCTGGGTGGCTCAGTTGGTTAAGCGACTGCCTTCGGCTCAGGTCATGATCCTGGAGTCCCGGGATCGAGTCCCACATCGGGCTCCCTGCTCAGCAGGGAATCTGCTTCTCCCTCTGACCCTCTTCCCTCTCGAGCTCTCGATCTCTCATTCTCTCTCTCTCAAATAAATAAATAAAATCTTTAAAAAATAAATAAATAAATAAATAAAAATAAATAAAAATAAAAACCTAAGAAAAGGGGCGCCTGGGTGGCTCAGTTGGTTAAGCAACTGCCTTCGGCTCAGGTCATGATCCTGGAGTCCCGGGATCGAGTCCTGCATCGGGCTCCCTGCTCGGCGGGGAGTCTGCTTCTCCCTCTGACCCTCCCCCCTCTCATGTGCTCTCTCTCTCTCATTCTCGCTCTCTCAAATAAATAAAATCTTAAAAAAAAAAAAAACCTAAGAAAAAACTTAAAAAGCCACTGACTTCTTATTTAACTGGTCAAGTAAGAGGAACACACACATTTTCAAACCGACAGAGAGGACGGGGGCCAGGGCCTGCACCCACGGAAACGGGAGCTTAGACACCATTTCCACGCACGTCTGCAGTTCCTTCCAATGTCTGCCCGAGAGAAATGACAACAGAAATCCACAGAGTGGTTCTACACAAATCCTCAGTCAGCACGATTCCCAGCAGCCTCAAGGGGGAAACAACCAGATGGCCATCGACAGATGAATACATGTCCACCGCCCATGGACACATCAATCGGCCGCAAACAGGAGCAAGGCGCCCACACATGCTGTCCTGGGGATGGACCCTGAGCCCATGACGCTCAGGGAGGGAACCAGACACAGAAGGCCACACAGGGTGTGAGTCCACGTGGGTGACACATCCGGAACACGCTCATCCACGGATGGGAAGGGGGCTCGTGGGGGCTGGGGAGGAGTGGGGAGGTGACAGCTAATGGGGACAGGATTGCTTTTGGGTGATGGAATATTCTAGAATTATTTAGGGTAACAGCTGCAAAACCCTGTAAATACACTAAAAGATCACTAACTTGCACACTGTAAATGGGTGAACTGTACAGTACGTGGATTATATCTCAAGAGAGCAGTTATTAAAAGAGACAGAAATCCTATTTACTGTACCCCAGGGAGCTGTCCAATGTCCAAATTATTTTGCTATCCAAGAACTTAGTTATATTAACTTACTTTAACTCAAAAGCTGGCTGAAAAAAGCCAGACAATAAATATTTTTAGCCTTATGGGCCATGTGGTTTCTGTCATAATTCTTGTGTGTTTTTACAACCTTTTAAGAAAATAAAAAAACATTCCAGGTTCAGAGGCAGGCAGGATCACACTAGGCTGGGGCCGGATGTGCCCACAGGCTGTACTTTGCTGACTCCACATAAGCGGGGACCAAGTGCAAGACAAAGCACACACTCCTGAAAGAAAACATCAAGGCACCACCAGGGATCAAGAGAAAAGAGACAGGGAGGTGATGGGGAGGGCTCTGAGGAAGGAAGGGCAGAGATGGGGACAGGCGGGTAGGCTCTCCGAAGCTGGCAACAGCAGAGGCAGGTCAGGCCAGGCAGAACGAGCCTAGGAACAGGACACACAGACGAGCGAGGGACCCAACGGGGTTTGGGCGATAAGTGGACCAACCCATGGTGCCAGCACAGATGTGTTCTACCCCCGCTCAATCGGAAGATGGGGGACGTTCAAGATGGGCAGCCTACTAACACGGTGGGCTGAATGATGGTCCTGCCAAAGACACCCACAGGTGAAACCCAGAACCTGTCAACAGATCACCGCTTCTGGTAAAAGGGACCTTGGCAGGTGGAAGCAAGTCAAGGCCCCTGAGGTGGGGGTGACCCTGGGTTCCCGGGGGCCCACATCCTCATGAGGTCCTCAGGAGAGGGAGACAGAGGGTGGGAGTCCCAGAGATGGGCAGACCCCACGCTGCTGGCGGTGAGGATGAAGGGGGGGCCGCGGGCCAAGAAAGGCTGGAGTCGGGTCTCCCTGGGGCCCTGGGGGAACCAGCCCTACAGGTCTGTTTTAGACTCCAGACTCCCAGACCTTTCACATAATTGCACGTCCTTCTAGGCCACTGAATTGTGGTGATCAGTGACGGCGGTGACAGGAGACTCAAACACTCATCCAAAAGCCAAGTGCGCAGGTCAGCCAAGAAAGGCAGTACTCCTGGTCAGGCCTCACCCCCCTACCTCCTGAACCTGCCACAAAGGTCCTTGGGGGACACTACTCTCCTGCCCCCTCCACGTCTCCACTAACTCTCCCCTACCCGAAATGCTTCCCCTCTCTTCTGCCTGCACCAGCCAAGCAAGTCCCACAACAAATCCCTGATGGGAATGACATCGAATTCCGAACGTTCACCCCATGCCGGCAGCACTGGGCTAAGTGCTGGACGTGGGGCCTCATTTTCAGATATAAGGACTGTTCTCCCCTGCTTTATTCTAAGGGGAACTAACAAATGAAGAGGAGTAAGACAGGGCTCATGGGAACAGGCAAAAAAATGCTATTACAGGCTAAACTGGGTACCTCAAAAATCCTTGTTGAAGTCCTAACCCCCAGCACCTCAGAGCGGGACTATCCAGACAGGGCCTTAAAAAGGTGATTCAGTTAAAATGAGCTTACATAGGGCGCCTGGGTGGCTCAGTCGGGTAAGCGTCAGGGTCCTGGGATCGAGTCTGGCATCGGGCTCCTTGCTCAGCGGGGAGTCTGCTTCTCCCTCTGCCCCTCCCCGCTGCTTGTGTGTGCTCTCTCTCATGCCCTCTCTCAAATAAATAAAATCTTTAAATAAAATAAAATAAAATGAGCTCACAGGAGTGGGATGAATCCAATCTGACCAGTGTCCTTTTAAGAGGAGAGAAGAACACAGAGACACAGACAGACAGACAGCCCTGTGAGGCCATGGGGAGAAGATGATCATCTGCACGCCAAGGAGAGGCACCTCAGGAGGAACCAGCCCTGCAGACACCTTGATCTTGGACCTCCTGCCTCTAGGCCCAGGAGAGTATGAATCTCTGCTGCTCACGGCGCCCCGTCCACAGTACTTTTCTGTGGCAGCCCAAGCCCACACAAGTGCACACACCACTCTATGAAGTGGAAGCCAGAGCGGAAGTCCATGTTGTCAACCCACAGAGTGATTTATTTCCCAAGACTATCAGCGTGAAGGTGAACTAGGAAGAAAGAATCCCCCAACCCCTCCCAAGCACACACACAAAGAAACTTGCTTCCAGTACATGCGGCCCCATCCCCCTGGGACAAGAAAACGTGGCCCTGCTTTATTTGAGGTCCTCATCACCACGAGGATGCCGGGCTGCTAATTACCCAAAGACAGTCAGTAATTAGCCCCGGGGAAGACCCTGCCTCTGAAACCGAGAGCTTCTGCGGCAGCCACCTGCCGAGGTGCACAGCGAGCATGGGAGAGGATGCTGTCCGGGACAAGGATGCATGTCTTCCTAATGCACAGGGCTCCGCCTCACTGGGACATCTACTGGGCCTCTTCCAGGGGGGCAGGCGGAAGCCTAATGCCCACCTCTGGTTCCAGCATACCTGGGCTTTGCAGCCAGCAGGGCTTGGTCTCAGGGCTAGAATCCCATGTGGCCACTTCCAGTCTGCGTGGCCTGGGGCAAGCTGCTTCCCTCCTCTCGGCCTCCGCTTCTTTATAAAACAGGGAGAGCAGGCGCACCTGCCTGGTAGCTCTTTTCGTAGGTGAACGAAAGTAACGGAAAGACAGACTAGAACTTGGGATGTCCAAACGATGTAACTCATATAAACTGTGGCACAGCATGCGCAGCATCTGTGCCTCTAACCGTTCACCTCACAGATCTCCGAGCGCATTTGGGATCATTGGATAGAGTCGTGCCGCCCAAGATGACAGCCACCAGCCATGCAGTGGCCTGCACACCAGTCTGAACCGAGATGTGCTGGAAGCGTGTATCACACACCAGATTTCAAAGGCTTCATATCCAAAAAAGGTGGTAAAATCCTTCACCTGTAATTTTTGTTGCGTTTACAAGTAAAATGATAATAGTTTGATCTATTGGGTTAAATAAAATATATTGATTATTAAAACTGACCCAGCTACTACAAAACTTCAGTACGCCTCCAGAGTAGCGAACATTCTACAGGCTGCGTAATGCTCCAGAGGCAGTGGGGCTGGACCACTGAAGAAACTTCCCATAAAATCCTTACAGCGACTACCCCTGTTCTTAGGTCACTGGGTCTGTGCACATACATATTCCTGTGGAATTAATTCTTAACAGTGGAATCGGTGGGTGAAGGGGCATATACGTGGGACATTTGGCTGACTTTGGCCAAGCCACCCTCAGCGGGAGGACCTAACACATTTCCAACAATAAAGGATGAGATGGAGGGGCGGGGGGGGTGCCCTACATTCTCTACCACTCTATTAAGGAAATTCCTAAAGGAGGGACTTCAGAATCCCAAATGAGCCTGAAACACTTTCTCAGCCAAGGCGTGAGACACGACTCAGTTATTTACATTCCCTTTTGGTGACATCATGGGGCTGGTCAGCAGCGAACTCACCAAATAAGGTCTGAGGCTGGGGGGGTGGGGACGGATGGTGCCTGGTCAGTCTGAGGCACGGTGTTCTCAGGGGATACTCCGGACACTCCGAGGCCCCGCCAGACAGGAAATCAGCTGCCTGGCTGGAATGGGAAACCTCCGCTCTTTCCCACAAGAATGCTAAACAATTGGCAGGGACGTGGGCCCAGACAGGAGGCCTCTCCTGCAAACGTGCACGAAAACCAATCATCTCCCTCAAGAGAGGATTAAATAGAGGGACACACCTTTACCAACAAACACTGCCACCACCTACTGTTCTCACGCCACACGGCAGGAACCCTGGTAGGTGCTCCATGTGCTCAATTCTCTTTCTCCCCAACAGAGGTCAAAACAAGAATGTGCGGACAGGGCCACCTGACTCCAAAGCCTAAATTCCTTTGGCCAGCACATGCCACTGACTCATTCCTTCTCGGAGAGGAGGATGAAGGACGGGGCGGAGGGATACTCTCCAGAAACCCCACAGTGCCCCTCTCCCATGTCCCGAGCTCCAGCAGCCGGCCCTGCTCACCTGCCCAGCTCCTCCCCCATCTCATAGTAGTCTTCTACGTCTTCCTGCCTGAACGTTGACATGGTGGGCGGTCTGCTTTCTGGTGCCTTCCCCTTGCTCAAGGCTGGAGACAGGACCTCAGGGAGTCCCCTAGCTGTGACCCTGGAGGAGAAAGGGGAAATAGGGAAGAAGTGAGACACCAACTATTACTCTTAGCTACATGGAGCAACCTCCCCCACCCTGCGCCCCCAAACGAAGTTCCATGCTCCTCATAAAAGACACATGCATGTGGCAGGCCGGGTACTTTCCCATTACCTCACTTGGACACCACACCACACCGTCTCTGGAAGTCCCACTGTGCAGGCTTGGCCCCAAAACTACCCCCAGGCCCACACCTCTGGCTCCCCACACACTGCCCCAGCCCTTCTCTGCCTCTCCCTCCTAGGCCTCCCAAGCTGCTCATCCAAAGCACCCCCCCCACATTCCTGCAAATTCCCCCCCCACTCTGCACACCCGGGGCTCCCTTACACCTGTCCAACATGCTAAGTCGTTCCAATGCCAACACCCCCCACCTCCCTGCCCATCTGCGACCTTAACCCCTCCTGTCCGCACCCATTCCCCCCACAAACCCCTGACGACAGATCTCTTAAGACCTTCCTCAGCGGTGTGCTAAATTCCTCGGGAATTGAACAATGGCTTCCAAACTCTGGCCAGCCCCCTACCCACGGTCGCCTCCCCCTGACCTCCGCCGTCCCGACAGCACTAACCGCTTCCCCGCTCCTCGAAGGCACCCCTGCAGAGGCCCGCATCCCGTCTCCCCCACCCGCAAAGGGCCACATCTCAGAGTCTCCTCCATTGTCTTTTCCCCAACCTTCGGACAAGGTCCAGGGTACACCGCCACGGCCCCCTCCACGGGCCCCTCCAAGCCCTAACGTCCGGGTTCGAGCGTCTCCAAGGCCGCCACGCCCCTCACAAGCCCCGACCCAGCCCCTTCTCCTGCCGGCTCATCCCAAGGAGGTCCCCGAACGTCCCCCCCGCGCCCCCGAAACATCGCCTCGGCCTCCCCCGCCCGCCGCCGGCCACGAGTCGCGCCCGCTCCGCACCGTCCGCGGCCCCGCGCCCCGGCCGGCCCTCTGCCGCGCTGGCCACCGCCGCCCTCTCCAGCCCCGCCGCCTCGGCCGCCGGGACGCACCGACCTGCGTCGACGTCGCCGCGTCAGCCAGTGCCCGCCCCCGGGAGGGGGGGTCCTGCCGCCCATTGGTCTACGCGCCCGCCCCTCGTGACGCCCCGCCCCCCAGCCTCCTTCCAGGCCCAGCGGGCTGGAGTCCGATCCTCCGGATGACGTATCGCCACTGGCCGGCAGGCTCGCCTTCGGCAGCGGATTGGCTGGAACGGACGTCGGTCACACTTAGGAAGCCGGAAGGCCGACTTCCGGCCCCTGGACCACCCCGCCCGCTCTCCTCTGACCCCGGTCCTGAAGCTGAGGGGTGCGATGCCGAATTGCTGCGTCCCTCCTCCTGCCTTCCTTGAGCACGAGACAAGCGAATGCGAGGCCCAGCTCCCGCATGGCCTCTCCTGGGGTGGACCCCGGGACCACTTTGGTCCCTGAGTTGCAGTTTCCCCCTCTGGAAAATGTTACCCACATTCCAAATGCATAAAATGCAAATGAGATCAGTCAGGTGTTGCCTTTCATGCTTGATTTTTCTGGCGTGTTGTCTCAAGACACACGATAGAACAGCTAGTTAGTAGGTACCAATCAACCATCTTAGGAGGTAAAACATGTTAACATTTCTCCGGTTCTGCAGGGGGGGAAGCTGAGACCCAGAGAGGTTAAGTAACCCCCCACTCTGACCCGAAGTCACACAGCCAGGAAATGGCATAGCTGAGAATCATTCCCAGAAAGCCCTGAACCACTGCAGATGTCATCTCACGAAAGACCCCAAGTCTTGACTTTCACAGCCTACCCTGCCCTCGTGCCATTCTCTCCTCGCTCACTCCAATCCAAGCTCATCTGCCCTCCTTCTGACTTCAAACATTGCACTCCCACCCAGGTATTTGCACAAGCTGTCCCGTCAGCCTGGATTCTTGCTTCAAGCACCTTCTCCCGGACCCGTTGCATCAGTAATTAACTACATCTTACATTAGATGCAATTATTACCTCTTATGTTAGTATGGCACATTTGTCAGAACTAACAAACCATCAGTAATACATTCTCATAACCAAGTCCGTACTTCATTCAGATGTCTTCTCCAACATCCTTTCCCTGTCTCAACAAATCCCATCCAGAATCCCACGTATTTAGTCCTTAGGGTCCTCTTGGTTGTTTCTCAGACTTTCCTTTTTTCCTATTTTGATGACTTCGACAGTTCGGAGGAGGACTGGTCAGGTATTTTGTAGAATGTCCCTCAATTGGATTTGTCTTTTTTTTTTTTTTTCCATAGACTGGGGTGATGGGTTTTAGGGAGGAAGACCAAATGCCCTTCTCATGACACCGTATCACAGGTCCAGGCTATCGACATGACATTGCTGTTCACATTGACCTTGGTCACCTGGTTCCATGTCTGTCAGGTTTCTCCAGAATACTTTTTTCTCCTCCCCTTTCCATACTGCATTTTTTGGAAGAAAGTCGCTTGTGCATAGCACACTTAATGAGTTGGAACATCATTTTCCTTGAAAAAACAAAACAAAACCCTGACAAACTATAGTAAATTAGACTTGGGTATATGGCATTTTCTCAAAAATGAACAATTAGAATCTGCCACTTCAAGGGAAACAATTGACAGGATTTGTTGCCAATGGTACATTTTAGCTTATATATTTTTTTTTATAAAGGTTTTATTTATTTGACAGAGACACAGCCAGAAAAGGAACACAAGCAGGGGGAATGGGAGACGGAGAAGCAGGCTTCCCGCTGAGCAGGGAGACCAATGTGGGGCTCGACCTGAGCAGAAGGCAGAGGCTTAACGACTGAGCCATCCAGGTGCCCCAAATTTTAGCTTTTAAGCAAAAAAAAAAAATTAGTATTTCAAAACTTGCTTGAGTTTCCAACACTTCCCTGATGAAAGTTAACAAATGGGACTTTTCAATATTTTTTTAATGAGATGTGTCAACAATCTGAAAGAGCAGCAAACTTGGTATACCGGTATTTCCAAGGGATCAATCCATGTTACAAAAGCGTGCATGGGAAAACGACGCCTTCAAAGTGCAAGAGGGGCCAATGGAGTTTAACACTAATGAAAAGCTCGCTAATATGGTCTCAAATACCACACTGTAATTATTTAAGAAATTACCCCTTGTGTTGGGGCGCCTGGGTGGCTCAGCCTGTTAAGCGTTTGCCTTCGGCTCAGGTCATAATCCCAGGGTCCTGGGATTGAGCCCCACGTCGGGCTCCCGGCTCCGCAGAGCTTGCATCTCCCTCTCTCTCTGCCTGACGCTCTACCTATCTGTACTATCTCTGTCAAATAAGTATCTTTAAAAAAAATATTACCGGGGCGCCTGGGTGGCTCAGTCAGTTAAGCCGCTGCCTTCGGCTCAGGTCATGATCCCAGGGTCCTGGGATCGAGCCCCGCATCGGGCTCCATGCTCGGCGGAAGCCTGCTTCTCCCTCTCCCACTCCCCCTACACTGTCAAATAATCTTTAAAAAAAAAAATTACTTGAGTTTTGGTGTTCCATTGAAGAACATCCACAATTCCGAGAACAGTTCTTAAAGGGCTTTTCTTTTCCATGCACAGGAATGAAGCTGGATTCTCTCCATAGAATCCAACCAAAATCACGTTATCACCATACATTTAACACAACAGGTATGAGAATCCAGCTGTCCCCGAAAAAGCCAGAGATTTCGGGGATTTGAAAAAAGGTAGCCTCCTACTCTTCCAATTTTTGTTTCAGAGGATTCTTTCCTTCATAAAGATGTTAACACATAATGGGTTTGTATAAATAAAATTATATTTAAATTTCCCAATTTTAATTTCTAAACATGGTAAATACCAGTAGATAAAACCCATTTAAACAAAAAGCGTCTTTGGGGTCCTTGATAATGATTTAAAATGTACAGGTGTCCTGAGACTAAAAAGGTTGTGGACGACTGGACTACAGAGACAAGGATAACACAAAAAATCAGTAAAAGGAAACAAATACGCATAGGGAGCAATATAGACACATGCTTGTAACATATCGATGCTTGGGATAAGCACACTAATATGTAATGAAGTCGTCAGGACAGCCCCTACCAATGGAATCCTTTTAAATTTTACAACTGAAAATGCACACGGACATAGAGGTGCTGTGATAGCAAGCCAAATACCTAGAATGACTAAGAATTTAGAATTGAAAACTTAAAAGCACAGTTCCATCTTATCAATTTACAGTCCCTATCTTTTGACAAAATTACTGGATATTAAAAATGCACAACTAAATGCAATGTGGCATCCTGGATTGGATCCTGAAACCGTGACAACCAAGTATACAGTCACTTAGCATACCTTTGTAACACCTTTGCAACTTGTCTATAAATATTCAAAAGTAAGTGTTTATAATAAAGTGCAAAAAGTACTTGAGTGTTTGTGTCAAGCAATGTTGGGTTTTGAAATAATATTTTCCAACACGAATGACCTTTTGTTGGAAGATGCTGTGGGTTGGCGACTGCACAGGGCAACTCTTAAATGGGCAGAGCTGTCCAGTGCTTTCATGACATCCATCATCCCGGCCTGGCTTCTGCCTTCTAAATGGTAATGGGGCTCCCTAAGCCAGTTAACAGCCAAAGTCCCCCCACAAATTTCCACAACAGCTCCCACCACAGCGCAGCATCACTGTTGAGGCAATGCATTCTGGTGGTGGTTTATCCAAAGAAGATTAAGAGTAACTAAGTAGAAAGACTTAAGGTCTAGAATTAAATGCTTAAGGTTAAAATAAAAATCTTGTCATGCCTGGGTGGCTCAGTCAGTTAAGCATCTGCATTCGGCTCAGGTCATGATCCCCCTGCTAGCGCTCTGGCAAAATCTTTAAAAACATTAGGTCTGTGTGTCACTTTTAACTCCCAGCTTTAACTTTTCTGAATAACTAATCTGGTTGGCTAAGACAACTTGTCTGGCAGG